TATATATATATATATATATATCTTATATATATACCAGACTAACATATATCTAGTAAATGCTAGGGCATTCACGAAGGTACAGGATAGTTCTAGAAACGTGGCGTGACACTAGTCACGTGACCTTGCTGACGCAACAACGGGAAAATCAACTTGGTATAATTTATCTTTTACCAAAGCTATACAAACGGTCAATATAAAAAGTGGTACAAATATCTCAAACTTTCCCATTATAGTCAATGTCAGTATATACCTAGGACTATCCATAATTATGTACATTGTTTCAGTACAACTATCTTATTTAGTGTAATGTGATTCCACATTGCTGTTAAATCTTCATGGCAGGACAACAGAAATAGTTGGTGCAAGTTTCAAATCATGTTGGTAAGCCTGAAAGCTAACTTGTGTCTGTAGTGATGATTGTTTGTAAAAACTTAACTATAAATAGAGAAAGTAAAATAACTATTAATTTGATCAAAAAAAAGAAACAACTAACACATTTAAGTATATTATTTCCTTAAAAATGCATAGTTAAGTATCCAATCTAAATAGTGGAATAATCACAACCTTAAAATGAAATACTGTAATAACTAAAAAAAATTAAAAGATAGAAAACAAAGTTAAGTGATTTACAATTTTAATGTGAAAAATTTACAATTTAGGCCTAAGCCCATCTTTTGGTTTCCAGATAGTACAGGCATTGAAACATTAACACAAAAATTCACACAAAATAAATATTGTTGGTTGTTCAATTATTATCAATTATAGTAGAAATGAAGTATTGTTGAGTTTCCTCTTATGAATAATGAATAAAAAATAAATTGCAATAAAAATTAATAACCAAAGAGAGAGAGAAAGAAATAAAATAAGTAACTTTCAATTAGTACATTAAAAATTAAGGAAGGAAGGAAAGAAATAGCATGAAAATTAAGTTGCCATAAGATTTAGTAGTTATCATGAAATTGAAAATAATTACAATAAAAAAAAAAGAAGGTAAATGTTGAAATATCTGAAAAATGATTTACACATTAATTTAAGATATGGTTGTAAATGTCAAGCTCTTCTATTTTATAGATCATCTAAGATCCACAAAGTAAAGACTTTATTTGGACATCTTCAGAGATTCTCCAATATATATTATTTTTCATTATGCAGCTGCTAGAACCTCACCATTAATGAGACAAATACAGCTTCATGTCAAGAGCTTCAAGGATTCTGTTAAGGAAATTCACAAACTAAAGATTAACCGACTTTGTTAATGAAATTCACAAACTAAAGATAAACTGACTTTGTTAATGAAATTCACAAACTAAAGATTAACTGACTTTGTTAATGAAATTCACAAACTAAAGATTAACTGATATTTGTAAGTGAAATTCACAAACTAAAGATTAACTGATATTTTTGTTAATGAAATTCACAAACTAAAGATAAACTGATATTTGTTAATGAAATTCACAAACTAAAGATAAACTGATATTTGTTAATGAAATTCATAAACTAAAGATAAACTGACTTTTGTTAATGAAATTCACAAACTAAAGATAAACGGACTCTGTAAGTGAAATTCACAAACTAAAGATAAACGGACTCTGTAAGTGAAATTCACAAACTAAAGATAAACGGACTTTGTTAGTGAAATTCACAAGCTAAAGAAAAACGGACTTTGTAAGTGAAATTCATAAACTAAAGATTAACCGACTTTGTTACATTGGCCAAGTAGCTTGCTGGTCAGCAGTTTACACTGCCCAAGTAACTTGTAGATTAAATTTAAGTGAACATAATCATTGTCAAAGAAATATATAAATATGTTTTCGTCAGCTACTACACAATGCTCATTGCTAGTGGAACATAATAAAACTCGTTATAGTAAAGCACCTTCTTGTAAAAACCCCAAATTAATTTTTCTTGAATACTGGTTGTAAAAGTTAAGCTGCAGACATTATTAGATCCCGGAATTATATAAATGCTCTTTAGTTTTTCACCCGTAACAGAAGACACAAAGATTTGCCTAATTTATCTGAGCCAATTCCTAAACACCTTTTGATTTTTTTAAACTGGTATATTTTTGACTGGATTGGAATTAAAGCACTGTGTCCTCTATTTTTATTAAGTAGATGTTGTTATTGTTTCAGGAAGTGAATTGTAGTCTTAGTTTTTGCAGAGTACTTATTTTTTCTGGTTTTTACTGCACAGTCTTCTCCGTTATCAATTGTAAAATGTTATAATAGGTTCATCTGCGGCAGTTTCAGTTCACTAAGTTCTCAGCTTGTGAAAGTGGCCCCTTACCTTCATCTAGTGGTGTGTCTTCATCTTCTGCTAGTCCATATGATGACACAAAGGTATTTGAAGAAATCAGTGAGGGAAAAAACTAGAAATATGATTTTTATACAGAAAAATTGGAAATGCTGATTTTGAAAGATGTTTTCAGTGGATTTAACTTTTTGTATTAAGAGTGAATACAGATGGTAAAAATACATAAATTTGCTAACAGATTCAAAGGTAATTGAAAATATTCCAGATTTTTAATTGTTTTTTAAAACAAAAGGTCTGAGTAAACTTCAAATCAGTGTAGATTTTATTTAAAGTTTTAAATCTCCTGGGGATTTGTTCACACTGCAGGATAGCAAGTTTTTCAATATTAATGATCTAGGTTAATAAAAAAATTAATTTTCTGTGCTGTGATAATAGGAATGTTCATTTTGTTATTGAAAAGAGAGGAGAATCTGAGATGTGGTTTAGTATTTAAGTATCTCAGTATTGTCCGTAGCAAGTTGTAGTATCTTGAACAGTAAAATTACAATTGTTAATACACTTGATCACTGACAGTTTCTAGAAATGTGCACATCCTCTTCACACAGTCATGTTAATTTTTTTTTTGCATTTTATCATCCTCAAATGAAATAGTGAAAATTGAGTGCTCTACTACAAGTAAAATTCTGCTGGGGATGAATAAAAAGTTTTTAACTATCCTTAACAGTTTAACCATTAAAAAGTTTTAACTATCTTTAACAGTTTAGCCATTAAAAAGTTTTGTTTTAACTATCCTTAACAGTTTAGCCATTAACAAGTTTTGTTTTAACTATCCTTAACAGTTTAGCCATTAACAAGTTTTGTTTTAACTATCCTTAACAGTTTAGCCTTTAAAAAGTTTTGTTTTAACCATCCTTAACAGTTTTAGCCATTTAAAAAGTTTTGTTTTAACCATCCTTAACAGTTTAGCCATTAAAAAGTTTTGCCCAGATTTCCAAGAAATTTCTGCCACTAAACAAATGTTCTTCTCCACACACACACACACACACACACACACACACACACACACACACACACACACTTACTCTGCAGTATGCTTTTCAATTGAATCACATGTTAGTTTCTACTGAAATTACAACATTTATTGAAACCTAATTCCTGTAAAAGTCCCTCAGAGAAAAGTTTCACATAAAATATTCAGCTTACGTTGAGGGTCTTCGATGTGTAGGTAGCACATGTTGTCAGAAAACATTTTTATAATGATCGTATTTGAAAACTGAAGTAATTTTTTTTATCGTTAAATGAAAATGTTTTGCAAGTTATTTAGTCATTCAGTATTTTAAGTGTAATTTTTTTTCTACTATTAACCCCTGTAAAGAAATTTTGTAATTTAATATTTTACATAAAAATTGTTGTGTCAATTTATTTTTCAGTTTTTTAAAAATCCACTTCTGTTATAATGTAAGATCTGTGGAATTAAACACATAGTTATATTAAAGATGTCACTGTGGGCTGACAAGGTTGAGTATTGTGGTAGAGCACAGAGGAATTAAACACATAATTCTGTTAAAGATGTCACTGTGGGCTGTCAAGTACATTATTTTTACTTGAAGATTTTTATAATATTTTATGCTTTTAGATAATATACACATGAAAAATATAAAGATGGTTTATTGAACTGCTGAGTAAAGACATAAAACTACAACATAAAAATGGTGAAAGGCTATGTTATTGAATAAAAAAAGTCAGATTAATTTCATCATCGGGTCTGATGTCAGGCAGCACCAGTGAAATATTTCCTTGTCCTATACAAATCTTTGAGATGCTCTCGCGCCAACGTTTTGTTTTCTTGAGTATCATTATTATTAATTTGTAAAAAGAGGTAACTTTCTTTCAAGAAGAATTAACTAACAAATTTACAATCACAGGAATAGTGGAATTGTCTCTATGAAAGCTTGTTAGTTCAGTGCTTTCCTTGTTTTTCAGTATTTAAGCTTCTTTGGCCAAGTTAGTGACCTTGAGGTTGCTGACAAACATGTAAATTAGTCATAGATATTCATTACAAATCAGGTATTGCTAAGAGATGTAGAACCAACCTGTATACCAATGATGTTAACATTATGCAATAAAACAGATAAACCAACAAAAGCAAAACGAAATAATTTCATATTAGCTTACATTTAATGAGCTTACTTTAAAACTTGCACCTACAAACATGCAAGTTTAGCCTGGATTTATTTCTCAGAAAATAATTTATTCAATAACGGCAATGATTCATCAGTCACTAAGGTTTTGAGTCGTTAAATTTAGAGAAGTTCCACAGATAGATCTGAGTATCGATTCACAAACTAATAAAAGAAAATAACTAATTCTAAGTTAAGAATATGATACATTCATTAGACATAGCAAACTGCTTATTTACAAGTTATTAATAAAAAAAAAAATTTAACTAAAATCTGAAAATAACCGTAAAAAAAAAAGATCTGATCAACTTAATTAGAAATTTTAAAATTGTAATTAACACTAATCACTTGTATATTAACTTAAAAGTAATGAAATTTGGCTTAGATGTAACTTTTGCCTAAAATTAGTATATAATGGACTAGCATTAATTAGAGGAGTCATGTGTACAGCAAGCTAGTTTTGTAATTTTTGTGAGTAGGCCTAAGGTCACAGAAACATCAGAAGACAAGCAACCTTAAGTTCTTGAGATTGGCAAGAATGCTGAGAATCAAAGAAAGTGCTGTAATTGGTCATAGAAGATCAGGAACAGAACCATTTAACTTCAATAGCATTAATATTTCTAAAATTGTACAACTGTTTAATTGAAGAACAAAAAAAAACGACTGGAAATGATTACCCTAAAACTATCACACTTTCACTGTTTGATGAAGACAGCAGATGATTTTACAGAATATATGGTAATAACATTTTGTATATATATATATATTATTTACTATTCAGTTCAAAAAAATTATTATACTCATTGTGTTTTATTTATTTTTTACATTGAAAAATAAATGTTGTGAGATGAAATCATTTTTTTGGTTAAATGTTAAAAATATGAATTGTGAGTGTAATTTGTCCTTCCAAATGTGTCAGGTTTAGTAGGACTTGTGTGGTCTTGTGAAAGCTGCAGTTTTACTTGTGTGTTATTTCATATAGGGTATTGGTTATTCACTTTGGAAGAAGTACTATTTAGATCATTCCTGTAAGTGAATTTGTATGTTATTTTTTGAGGTATGTGTGATATCACGCTATAATAGCATCTGTGAATAAGCACTTTATTAGGATTTCTTGTGTTTTGTTTGAAAATTAAGTTCATCTCATAAAAAAAAAAAAATAAAAATTAGTGAATGATGTAGTAAATGTGAGTTATTATAAAAGTATCAGATATTTTATGTTCTACAAAATGAGCTGAATATAGCCTGGTGTTTAGGGTTCAAGATTGTAAAATTGAGGATCCATGATTTATTTCCCATTGACACAAAATCACATTGTTCCTTGGGATCATTATAAGAGTGATGAGTAGAGTTGATAGTGGGTTTTGATCACTGGCTGTTTTCTCTCTAGTCCATCAGTTTAGAATTGGGAAAGTTAGTGCAGATAACTCTTGTAGAGCTTTTCAAGAATATCTAAACCAAACGATGTTGTAAAAATACTTTAAATTATTTCTTATTCTTTAGGGTATATTTTGTACTTTTATATATTTTAAGATAAATTGTTTTAAAATCTTATTTATGAGATCCAAAAATATTAATGATGTTATCCAGAGCTTTGTATTTTTACATAATTTTTCAAAATAACACAAGAAAATGAAAATTTGTCATAAAATGAGATTTTTTTAAGATAAAGTTTCGTAAAAGAAGATACGATAACCAATTCCTGAACAATTTAATGTGAAGGTAATTAATTTGGTCAGGATAATTCCAGTTGTTGTCAAAACCTATTTGGTATAACTTATATTTGGATTGAATGAGTTACAATTGCATGATCAGCTGATCACAAAAGTTGGGCTTTGAAGAATCAACTATGTTTCATATTGATGAACTATTTAACATGTGTAAAATGAACATTTGTGAATTGTTTTATCCTTGAGCTAGAACAATATAATATAGTGTACTTAAAGTTTTTGGAAATAATACTATTTTTGCATTACAAAACTTTGGCTTGCATTTTTTGGTCCTTTATGATATAATTAGTACTTTGGTCAGAACATGATACAAGGAAGCTAAAAAAAGCATCAGTTGTTGATTAAATTAGTTTTAATTTTTGAAGTTGCAGTTGGCATTAGTACATTTGTAAATTAAACCATATTTTTAGTTAAAAAAACAAATTGATGTTAATATTTTGGAAAACAATTATTTGTGATGCACAAATCATCTTGTGTTTGATTGGTTTATGATGAACTCGTAGTGTTACCACACACGAACACACACAGTGAGAAACAAGAACATAATGCCATTTATTTATTTTTGTAAATTTTGAATGCTGGATGTATATGTAGAACTTTCAAAAGTCATTCACTAATGCTAACCCTAAAAAACATAATTGTTAACATTGTAAATTTTGTGTTTCGTAGCTGTTATGCAATTTTAATGAACTGAAATTACAGAAATGGAAGTAATCCCACAATAAACAAAGAACGCGGGATTGATGAAGTGCAGGAAAGGCTGAGAGTAACAGAAAATAAATACAAAAATTGAGAAAAGTTATTGCATTCAGCATGATGAAAAAACATTTGATGTAAGACAAACTAGTACGCTACCAATAGACTTTACTGCTGCAAATTCCTTCATTGTGGAAACTTTTAGTACTATTCATGGGAGCACTCATGATTTTTAGTTTAACAGGTTGATAGTTATTTTACAGAAGTGAAACTCGCAGTGGCATGATCTAATTCAAACTATGTTGAATTGATCAGGGTGATAGGTCACTCTTTATTAATAGTATGTAAAGGATTAATATATGTTTAAAACTATGAGACAACCAGGCAATTATCATAATATACCTGAATGAAGATATATTCTAAGATAGTTATAAAAGGGTGAAATTAACAGTTAATTTACAACATGAGCAGAAAAATCATCTTACATGAAGACAGATAGAAGGCCTTACTCAACTGTCACTGGTGTAGACAGATAGAAGGCCTTACTCAACTGTCACTGGTGTAGACAGATAGAAGACCTTACTCAAGAATTGTGATGTTCCGAGCAGCAGTGACCTTCTCTTTGCATACCATGAGCCATTATTGTCCAACTTCCCAATATCAGAAATACCAATGTATTTTATCATGGCTTGCAGAAGGTTCAACAGAAGTTCCCGAAGATAGTCCCCTAACCTAGGTACATCCGTTGTACGAGAAAACAATCACAATGTTCTAAAACGCAGGAGGGTGCGATAGCATCTCTGATACCCACTACTGTTATTGTTCAATATTGCCTGGGGTGAGGAGTGGTTCTGCTAATGTAGCCCATGCTAGGAAGATAACTTCCGACACATTTAATCTGCCTTGCACCTATTTGACGTTGGACATCCACACAGTTCCAGGAGTTTATTCTGTTGGTTTTGGGTGCCAAAGCTCTGAAGAAATTGTTGCTTACTGAATTTAATGGAATTGTATTGTCACTTTTTTTTTACTGAGAGCAGTGTATTTCTTGATGGCTTTGACCACTTATCCATTGCCTAAGTATGCAAACTTGTAAAAATAAATATGGTTAATTTCCAGACTTTTTTTGTTTCTGACATAGCTTTTTGTATTCTGAGTTCGTAACAGAATTTATATGCTGAATTAATTGCATATGATGTCAAAGAGATGGTAAATTTGTGTTCAGGTGATTGACATTTTACTGTGTATTAAAAAAACTATGTTCACGGTTTTCTTTCATTATGAACTAGAAAATGCTATTTTACCTTACAATTACAAAGTTGCAAAGATCTATGAATATTCCAGTTGCCAGAATTCCATAACCGTTATGATATTGATAGAACATGAGGTAGAGTTAGCTAACATGAAAGATCACTTGGGAAGTATATACAGGAAAACATCCAACTCAAAGTTTCACCCGAGTGCCTGAAAAGCAAAGATTACAAAGTCCTTTCCGGTGTCAGAGTTATCAATGATCGTCAGTAGTTGAAATCAACTATCAGTATGCTAGAGTCTCATCTCAAAACCTTTTGTTCTAGCTCTGTTATCCAATAAGTATCGTGATGTCTGTTTTGTAGATATGTCGTTAAAACTCTAGATGGAATGAGTAATTATTACAAGCCACAAACCAACCTCTTGCTACCAAATATAACTCAGTAAATCAGAAAGTAAAGGTTGAAAATCTTTCAAACGTTCAACTGTCCTCGCTAAAACTGAGTCGTTACATCCTTTTCTACTTGTGAACACACCATTCAATAGCTAGGAAAGCAAGGATTACTACTTGCTTTCAAGCATTGATGTTTCTGATGGTGCATGACATCCCCTGGTGCCCCACAGTCCTTGCATTTTACAAAGTTCACAGTATTTCCTACAATAAAGCTCCGGGACTCCCCCTAACTATATCATAGGTCAGGACCACATCTTGATGGTTCACAAAAACTGTGTATCACACCATTTTACACTCGTAACTGACTACACAAGTGACAGATGCATTAATAATACATTATCCAGTTGGTGACGGTCATGGTTTGCCTTACTTCATGATTAATAGTGCCCAAGTGTATCCAGAGTACCTGATTGGTCATTTCTGATATCTATCCACAAGTACAATTGTATGAATTATGATCATTGTTGCTTAAACATCTTTGAAACTTATCTTACAAACGTATCTGCAAGCTCCATGAACACATCTCATACCTCTAGTTTGTTACATGCGTGAATTAACTGCTTTGTTAGTCTTAAAACTTCCATTTGTCTTGTAACATTGATTTAAAAAAAAACAAAAAACAATTGTCCATAAGTACTGATGATTAATGATTGTATTGAATTAAAACAAGGTTTTTCAATGAGTGTTATTTATCAAATTTTCCTTTAGTAGCCAAAAATAAAATAAAGCATTGCCATGCATTTTCCTACCTGAATCTGTACCCCCCCCCAAAGTTTTTTTTTAAATTGCCAAACAATAAATGTTTGTTATTACATAGCAAATTATTATATGTATTCACAATACAAAAAAATTATTAAAGAATTAGAAGTTCTAAATTTTTTATAACGTAAGTTTATGTCATGTACACAACCAAATTTTATAAGAGTTCAAAATAATTAATGTATTGAATAGTCATAATTAAAAAAATTCTTGTATGAGGCACAATAGTTAAACCCCAAACTTTATAATCTATTAAAAAACAAGTTATCTTGTACACTAGCTCCAGGTTGTCCCTAACTAGTTTTTCTTTATATATATTGAGGTATTGTGTAGCTAATTGCATGTGTCTTTTGTATCAGTTTGATGGACTTTCCTTGGTGGGTAGGATTGCTTCTCTTAATCTTGGAAATTCCTGGCCATGTAGTTTCACCAGTTGTTCTCTGTAGAGTAAAAAATCTGTTGTTAGAAATTCTTACTTGAATTTTACTATTACTCAAAATAACCACAGAAAATCACATCTTCAAAGAAATAAAAACATCATCTGGATAAAAATAATTATAACTCCAAGATGAAATTCAAGGACATGACTCTTTTTGAGAGAGAGAGGAAGAACGTGGTAAATTTAAAGTTTTTGAAAAGTAAATTATTAGAAAGTGCTACTGAGTTACCCTTTAGCTTAGTTGGTAGGTTATTTGCCTCACATTCAAGAGCTCCTGGCTGTAATCATATCAGAAATAAATGCAGAAATGGAATTACCATGGACTGTTGTGGTTGTTCCACAACCCAAGAATGGACCATGTTTGTGAAGGGGAAGAAGAATGTGATAGTTTTAATTTTTAAAAAGTTTCTTGCTAGTGCTAGTAGATTAACCCTCTACCACAGTTGAACACTTGTCTGACAAGTGAGAGGTCTCGGATTCAGTCCTGAGTTAGATGCAGAAACTGAATTACCACAAACATATACTTTGCTGATGGGTTTTGTAATAAATCCAACACTAACTGTTCTGTTGGTGGCTATTACAACACACTGTTCTTATAGTGGCTGAACTTATAATTATTATTGTAGTATTCAAGTTTACTGATATCCACGGGAAGGAAATCAAATATACATTTGCAAAATGTAGGTTCTGGAAATGTTATGCAGAGTAATACTTCAAACACAGACAGCAAAAGAAAACAACACAAGTGTAAAAATTCTTTATTCATATAATGCAGTAAAATCATGGTTTTACTCAAATAGCCAGTTTCTATTTTACTGTAAGGCTGCACAGAACAAGGACAGGATGAAGAACGATGAAATACCCAGTGTTCAAGTCAGACCAGTGTCCTACTGCTGAATTCCGCAATTTTTGGGCTACGTACGTTGACGACTATTCCAAATAACACATATTCAAGGGTATACTGGTATTTGCTGATATATCAATTAGTTTAATTAATT